CCAACCAATCTCAAAGCCCGCCTATCATATGAGTCATGCTGAGCTTGCAAAGCTAGAAAATCAGCTTTTTGAATTAATTACCCGGAAGTTAATCTGCCCTAGTCATTCACCTTGGAGCACTCTAGTATTGTTCGTGAAAAAGAAGGATGGTTCCCTCAAACTTTACGTGGATTACCGGGAGTTTAGTCGAGTAACAGTTAAAAGCAGGTACGAAGACCTCTTTGATCAATTGTAACGAGCCACGATCTTCTCCAAGATTGACCTTAAGATGGGATACCACTAGCTAAGAGTCAAAGAAGAAGATATTTTAAAGATCGCCTTCTGGTGTAAGTACAGTTTATACGAATTCAGGGTAATGTCGTTTGGGAACCAACGCCCCTGCAGCATTCATGGACCTCATGAATAGAGTTTTCTGGCATGCACTAGATCAGTACGTCATCGTATTTATTGATGACATCTTAGTGTACTCCAAGAGCCTGCAGGAACATGCAGTACACTTGTCTGAAGCGTTGGAGACTTCACTGGAACCAACTGTATGCTAAACTTAGCAAATAATCCTTTTGGTTGGATCGAGTTTCTTTCTTCGGTCATGTAATTTTGAGTGGAGGAGTTTATGTGGATCCATCAAGGTTGAAATAGTAATCAACTGTAATCCGCCCACTATCGGTGATTCATTGAAAGATTTTCTAAGATTGCTGCTCCATTAACGTGACTCATCCGAAAAGGCGTGCCATTTGTCTATAATTATGAATGTAATGAAAGCTTCATTGAATTATGAATGTAATGAAAGCTTCATGAAATTGAAGCGTCGTCTTACCTCTACTCTTGTATTGATCCTCCTTGATAATATTGGAAGATTTTTCGTCTACTGCAATGCATCTCATATTGGCTTGGGGTGTGTTCTGATGCAGCATGGGAGAATAGTCACTTATGGGTCTCGATAATTGAAACCTCTTGAGTGAAACTACCCTACCCATGATCTGGAGTTGGCAACCATTATCTTTGCTATAAAGATATGACATCGTTACCTGTTTGGTCATATTTTCGAGATTTACATTAACTATAAGATTTTGAAGTACATCTTCTAGCAAAGAGAATTAAATTAGAGATAGAGATGCAAGTAGATCTCCTATAGGACTATGACTGCAAGATCATCTATCACCCCAGTAAAGGAAATGTAGTCATTGATGCACTAAGTCGAAAGGAGTCCGTAGTGTTGGCCCAAACCATGGCCTCCAATTGGAAATTAATGGATACTATGCACTCACTCTGCCTCAGCTACTATCGCAAAGGCACCTATCTCACTCAGATCTGAGCTCTACCGGATCTCTTCATGAAAATATAGGAAGCTCAGTCCACGGACCCGAAACTCACCAAAAATCTAAGTAAGTTCTCTTCTGATGAATTTTCTTATTTCAAGATTTCAAATGATGGATTGTTTAGATTTCATAATTAAATTTAGGTTCCCGTCACTGTAGGGGCGGATGTTCTTAAGACTGCCCAAGCTTCTAAGCTATCCATCCATCCCGGGAGTACCAAGATGAACCGAGACTTGAGCATTAATACTAGTGACAGGGAATGAAGAAAGACATAGTCGACTACGTCTCCCAATGCCTCACTTGCCAGAGAATTAAGGCAGAACATCAAAGATCCGACAATTTGTTACAAGGCCTCCCAATTCTAAAATGGAAGTGGGAGTATGTAGCTATGCATTTTCTCATAGGATTGCCTAGGACCTATTCTAGTCACAACGCTATCTAGGTCATCGTTGACAGACAAACCAAGACCACTCATTTCTTATCCATCAAGACCACTTACTCCACCACTAAATTAGCTCGCCTTTATATTGATGAGATTGTTTGACTTCATGGTCTTACCTCGTCTATTGTGTTCGAACGAGATCCTCGATTTACCTCCCACTTCTAGGATAACTTTCAGTAAGCTCCAGGGTCTGGACAGTATTTCAACACTGCTATCATCCTCAAACGGATGGTCAGTCGAAATGTACAATTCAGACATTGGAAGACATGTTGCGTGCTTCCATCCTTAACTATAATGATCACTAGTATGAGTATCTTCCCCTATGTGAATTTGCTTATAATAACAGTTATCATTCCCATATCAGCACGGCTCCGTATGAAGAATTGTACGGTAGTCCTTGTCATTTTTCCACTTGTTGGAGTGAAGTCAAAAACCAGTGTCATTTGGGACTAGACTTCATCCAAGAGGTTATTGAGAAGGTTGCGATCATCCATAAGAACTTGGCTACTGCCTAAAGCCGTCAGACGTGTTATAGCGATAATCATAGGCGACCCTTGGAATTCGCCATTGAAGACCAGGTTTTCCTCAAGATTTTCCCCTACAAGGGGAAGATGCAGTTTGAAAAAAGAGGAAAGTTAAGCCTTCGTTATGTGGGACCTTTTCAAATCATTAAGCACATTGGACTCGTGGCGTAACCCTTACTCTACCCCAAGAGTTTACGGTTTTACATGATGTTTTTCACGTCTTGATACTCAAAAGGTACCACCCTGACCCTTCTCATATCATTCCTCACAATGAAACGCATATACAAACTGATATGATGTATGAGAAAATCTACATGGAGATTCTTGGGTGGACCGACAAGGTCTTGCGCAACAAGATGATCCCCATGATAAAGGTACAGTGGCAGCATCATACACCAGAAGAGGTGACATGGAAGTTGGAAAGCAAGATGACGGAGAAGTTTCTAGGCTTGTTTGAGACAAATTTGTGAACAAATTTTTTCTAAGGTAGGGGGGATGTAAAGCCCGCCCAACACTGTGCTTAATTTATTCAGAAAACCCTATTTATTTGAGCTTTTATGCCACATTGAACTCATTTAATTTACTTCGCATATTATTATCGTAATTCATGAATTATACTGATTTTTATTTATTTTGATTTTATTTAACTTTAGTTAATTTTATTTTTTCTAGTCTAATTAAATATTTTTTAAATGAATTTCATAAAACAAAGAAACGAGAGAAAGTCTAGCGAAAAAATCCTGTGGGAAATGGTTGCCCGTGAAGCCGCCCATGCGCTGTGCGTGCACACACACGCACAGTAGGTGCGGGACGTGCACACGGGTCAACCCTGCGCACGTCTTGTCGCGCGCAGGCAGGCCGTCCGAACAGTAGGTCTGCACGGTTAGGCCCCTGCGCGTAGTAGGCCCACGTGGAGCGCCCAACACGCCAAGGTTCTACGTACACAACAGGGTGGGCCATGCGCCTGCAGGCTAGCCTGCAACGCATCAAGCGGGGAGGCCACTCTGCCAAGTGCACAAGCCTACTACGCGCATGCCCTAAGTGCGTAAGACTATTCACGCAGGCCTGCTGCGCGGATGATGCGCGCACATTATGCAATTCCAGTCCTGTCTGCGCACAATATGATGCATGCACAGGTCTAGCCCCATGCCTCGCGCGGATGGAACGTGCAGACTGTATGCACGTCCTGTGCCTATCACGCGCGCACATGGGTGCAGTCCAAGCTCGGGCAGTTCCTCTCCCACGGGTGTTTTCCCGCAGTATTTTTTTCACTTTTGTCTTTTGAGTTAAAGTTTATTTCCAGTAGTTACATCTTTTTATCGTTTTAAACTCCAAAGAGAAGAAAAACCCCCATGTCTTACCATTTTATTTGTTGGTCACAGAAGAAAAGTGGTTCTCAATTTCTTGAAGATTCGACCCTATTTACCACTATTGCAATTTTGTTTTATTGATTGAATAGAAATTTGGTTTTAGTGGATTTGACACCCATCACACCCCCTATAGAAGTTTTTCCTTAGTTGTCTTCCATAAACCTTGTAAAATCAAAGAAATTTCATTATAATATTTCATAGACTAAAAGTCATTCTATCTTCAAAGTTTTTTAGCTTGTACTTTACAGAAGATAAAGATGCCATATGAAAACCCTAGATTATGTACAAAGCTAAAACACAAAGGGAAACACTGTTGTGCCCAAAACACCACCACAAACAGGAACCACCATTGCAAGTAAACATTGTTGCATGTCAGAGCAGAAAACAGCCACGTTGTAATGCCAAACACCGCCATGCACAGGAACCAGATACCACCACACTGCTGCGTGCAAGAGATAACCAACTACACTTTGTGCATAAATACCACTATGTGCAGGGGTAAAAACTGGTGATATGTCTTTGAACAAATCGTCGCACGTAGATGTCATTGCTGTATAGAGAAGAAATCAGTGTGCGCAATAAATAAAAACTATCGATTTATATTCATGCAAATCACTATGCACAGATGGGCGATTGCATAGAAAAGGGACTATCGTGCGTAAGGGACATAAACCACTAGTCTGTCTTTATGCAAATCGCCACATGCAAATGCCACCACCGCACACACACTGATTAATTTTCAAATGTCTAGTCTTTGCCTCCTAATTCTGCTATATCGATACGAGATTAATCTTTTTTCTCTCGGTTTGAAAGTATCAAAGAGAGCAACAATCAATCTTTTGCTTAGTCAACTACGAAGTTTCAAGAGGAGCAACATAAATCCTAGCCGTCGACGACGACAACTTTCTTCCTCTTCTTTTTTCTTTTTTTTTCCTTAGACAACATAATCACTACTTTTCTGTTCTTTTTTCTTTCCTTGCTTTAGTACCAATTTGTGAAAATCAATCTCAATTACGCATACAATCATACAAACTAATGAGTAAAAAAAGAAAAATAAGATTTACGTAGTTCAGCAAAGATGCTTATGCCCACAGGTAAATTGAGAAAAAATTTTCTACTATGATAAAAAATAAGAATATATCAAATTAGTTAACTTGTAAATAATTATATATTTAAAATAGTATAATTTTTTTAAATATTTCTATAATATTTACAAAATATACTGTAATATTTTTAAAATATATAAAAATATTTTCAAAATATACCCAAAATCAAGTTACCTCTTAGAGAACATGTCTAGGTATCCATTATATTGAAGAAAATGATTCTCATATTAAAAATATTGGAATCAGCGAATCGTTTAATGGTAACAACAAAACCGATGAGGGTACGAACTCATCACATAGGACACTTACACCCGTATGGGTCGTCTTGTGATCAGTTTTTGAAACCATAAACCATGCCGCTGAAGAAGGGGAATGAAGCGGATCCTTGCATTGCCCAACAACTCTCGCGGTCTCGCTTTCCTTCCAACTTTGTCTTCGGGGTCGCCACTTCTGCTTACCAGGTCTTGTATTCTCTCTCTACCTTTCTCTCTCTCTCTCTCTCTCTCTTCTTCTTATATTCATACATATATATATATATATATATATATATCTCTCTCTCGGTATATTTGTCAAGTTTAAGGATGCATGTTGATTTTGTACTTGCAGAGATCTGGTTATTTCCTTTTTTGTTCACACGTATACATGTACGATTTGGGTATTTCGTTTTTTTGCTCTGTTGTAGTTTTGCTACAGATTCTTTTCTTTGTAGAAAAAGACAATCAAGGGCTAGCGGGGAAATGGTTTTCTTTTTAATGGCTGCTAGAGATGGTCTTCTGAATACATCATATGTTGGCTTTTGTAGTAAAAGTTTCTAGCAATTTTGACATCTGAAAGTTAGCACGAAATCTTGCACTCTACTACTGTAGATTGGTTGTTTTAATTAACGCTTAGCTAATAATTGTGGAGGAGGTGTACATTTACTTCATTGAACAACTCAAGGTTGATTTTAGATTGAAGGAGGTTGCAAGGAGGGTAGTAAGGGTGCCAGTATATGGGATGCCTTTACACATATTGAAGGTATTTGCCTTCTTTTTCTTCTTCTTCTCCTCCTCCTCCTACTCTTCCTAACAAATCTGACTCGTGAGAACTTATTTTGTTAGGAAAAATTCTTGATGGAAGCAATGGTGATGTGGCAGTGGATCATTATCACCGATACAAGGTCAGTAATGATTATCTGAATGGTGAACAACTTGCAATTTCTCTTCCATTTTTTCATCTTGCAAGGAATTTAATGTTTGCTTATACAGAACACCAAGCTTGGTACGGGCATATTAGGGACATCTCTTTTGTCATGTTTTTCCTTTCCAGGATAGTTTGGCATGGAGTGGGAAGGGGGAAACCAGCGTGGGTTGAGAGAAGAAGGGATTTTGGAATTTGATTTTACTATTCAGTTATATGTTTGATGCTATTCATTTCATGGCAGCTGGACCATTATGTTGTTCAGATTTGGCTAAAGTTTGTTGCTGAAACCGAAACTTTTTCTTCTGGAAAATATTTTTTAGGTGTCAAATATATGTGCCTTGAATTATCATGGATATAGACTAGAGTTTTGAGCAAGTTAGATGCAAGAAGCAATAATTTTATTTCTCTTGGGTGGTGCACTTATCCTTGTATCCATTTTTTACTAGATTTCAGAAGGTCCAACTTTGAATCTGTTTGGGTTTCTTTTTTCATCCATCCCTTTGTCTCTATCCCGTTTCATCTTATAAAAACCATCAGTTGCACTACAGCTGCTTACAGAACAAGGATCATTAGTACACATTTGTGGAAATTCTCTGTTCATTACTATTTTGTTAAATCATACACATTAAAAACAAAAAATTTGAAGATGATACATTATTGCTGTATTTTTCTCTGCATTTTCCAAGAAAAATAGCTTATCAGATCAAGATCGATAAAAATTGCCATCAATACTGAGATAGATTTGTATAAGTATGGAATTTGAAGTATTTGTTCTCATTCAGCTTGTTATTATTTTTCATTTTCTCCAAGATTATTTTCTCAGTTCAATGCTGAATACACAGGAAGACATTGAGCTCATAGCAAAGATGGGATTTGATGCTTATAGATTTTCGATATCATGGTCTCGGATCTATCCTGGTACGTCCAAATAGTAAGAGTCGAAAAGCTTAACAATAGGGTCTTTTTCTATTCATTAAAATAGTCAACAATCATATATTGACACCATTCAAGTGAAACAAAAGTTTGCCCACAGTATATATTTGCTTATGAATTCTTTATTCACAGGGAACCAACTGTATATATTTCTGCTAGATGAATATTGTTACTGATACAGTAAATAAATTCTGGTGGTTCTCCCAGTGGCCAATGACTGGAAAAGTTCGCTGCTGTTTTCATGTTCTTTTCAGTCAGGAATAAGCTTTCTGATGTAGAACTTGAGAGTCAAAGATTACATCCAGAACTCCATATATATATTTAGCATAGATAATCCAAAACCCTAAACAAATCCTTCATACCAAACCTACAATTAACCTGTAAATGAGAATTTGGGTGATTGGGATGAAAGAAACAAAAATGAATAAACGCCACAAGATAACTTGATAAGTTAATTCAATTTTTGATGCAATAACAAGAATAAGAACTTTCATTTGTCAAAGTTCTATCAAAGGTAATGAAATTCATTCAATAATCAAAATTTACCATATTACATTAAAAAATGAGATATTTATAGGATAAAACACTTAGATTTTGCCAAAAGTTCATAATTATATGACCTAGAAAAATATGAATAGAATTTAATTATTTAAGAAATGACCTAAGAAAATATATTATTAAATGACCTATAAAAACATAGTATTAAGTGATCTACAGAAACATAATATTAAATAACATAGGAAAAACGTGGTATTAAATGACTTAGGAAAACATGAATAATATTTAG